TTGAAGGCTGCCATTCATTAAAGCCATTTATCCGTTCAGATTGTAGGTGTGTGCATGTTGTGATTCTTTTTATGTGTATGTGTGTGTGTGTGTGTGTTTAGCAATTTGTTTGCTGTCATGTCAAAGTGCAATGAAAATATTTTCACTTGCCCATCAAACGCTGCACACACAACACTTGACATGAGACAGCAACGTCAAACATTCCGCAATGCCACCCAAAAAGCATCTTCATAAATTTGATGCTGTTGCCGTTGTACCCACAGCATCAGCAACAGCAACAGCAGCGGCAGCGGCAGCAACACTCCCACATGCCCAGAGACTCTATGGCAATATCGTGTGCAGTCTGTGGGCTCCTTGAGGCTGGCTCGTCTTGTGGGTCGATCAAAATGTTTGTGGCGTCTTTTTCATCATCATCATTAAATTCGTCAAGATGCAAATTTTTTGCCGATTTTTTGCGACAGGCTGTTTACTTTGTTGTTGCTGTTGTTATTGTTGTTGCGGTTTGCTGCTGCTGTTGTTTGGTAGTCGTGCGCATCTTCCAGGAAGGTGCACGGATTGATACCAGCCGGCAGTCTGTTGAAGCATTTCTTATACTGGCTGACATTATTTTACTTAAGCCTTACCAAGTGCAATTTATTACCATGGTCTGGCTCTTAGGGCTAGCTGTGGGCGTCCTATACCATATTCACTTAGTTGCTTGGCCATTTAGTTATATTGACTATATGTACATATATAACTCATGCTTAAACACACTACATAAATTGCTCGTGACTGCAATTAGACAATTGTCGCTGTCGTCAAACTCAGCCATGGCTCAGAAGCTAATGAATTTTTATTTGTATATGTATTACAAGACAACAGCAGAGCAGCATTAGCAACAGCAGCAGCAGCAACAAAGTCTTCATTGTGTTGGTGTTGGTGTTGTTGTGGGCATTGGCTGCCTTAGCTGCTGCTTGTATAAATTACCATAATAACAAATTACGGATCATTAAGATTGTCAGCTACTTCGTTTCAATTAATTAACCATTAATTACAAAGCGCCTGAATGGCAGAATGTGGCAACAGTGCCTGGTAACGACAAATGCTGTACATGAGCCCACAATATAAGCCCAAAACCCAGCAACAAAGATACAGCATTCAACGGCATCCGAGCAGCCATATAAGCCACAATGACGACGACAACGACGACGACGACGACAAGAAGCCAAAATTAATGCAATAGAAGACAACAACAACAACAAAAACACCAACAACAATTGCAGCAGCAAGTGAAGAAATGCACAAAAAAGCAGCTGTGCACAAAAATGCAAATTTTTACAGAGTATAACAACAACAAAAACAACAACAGTAGCAGCAGCAACAACAAAAATAACAACAACTACAAATATGCTAAGAGACTTCACTTTCAATATATAGCAAAGGATGCTATTTCTTGTAGCTGTTTGTCGCGTTTGCAAGTTGCACAAATTGCATTTTACCATATAAAACACAATTTCAGCTGAAGACAAAGGAAAAACAATACAGAAAAAAGGCACAAGCAAAACCTACAGATGCATATGGGACGGTGGCAGACAAAGCACCGCCACTAAAAATGTGACAAAAGCCCAAAAACGCAAATTGAAAGTGAAACTCGAGAGAACCGAAATGGAAACTAGAAATTTGCATAGAAATGAATTTGTAAGAGTTGTTGCGCCAAGCTATTTATGAATCAACTCAAGTCAAATGCTGTTTGCAAAAATAGCAAATAAATTTGTAACTAGCTTAAAATATGAGTGCTTATTGGCCTATAATGTTCATGTTTTCAAAATGATAGAATCCGTAAACTGTTATAAACATATGAAGAATGTAATCTTTCAAGCTCATATGATAAAAAGAATAATTATAATAAAAACTAGAAACATTTTTCTAGACAAAAAATGGGCTATTTATAAAAAAATAATTATGTTGAAATCTTGTACAAAAAGCTATTAATAATAAATATTTAGTACAAATATGTGGTTGTAATTACATTCTATACTTTCCGTATTGTAATTGCTCGCGGCTGGTCTGTATAAGCTATACACTAATCTGAGCCTTGGTTGGCCCTATTATATGTCTATATATATCATAAGTATAATACTCTAGCTTTGTGCTCTGCGACATAACTTTATGACAAGCTGATGACTTGGTGAATGAAGTTAGCTGAGCTGGTTCGTTGCCTAAGTCTTTTATTTTGCATGTACTGCGCATGCAAATATTTGCATATATTTATTGCTTGAGTGGCAGACTTACACACCCACAGGCTGCCTTGGTAACAAAGGCAATGCGGCAAACGAGCTTCTTTTAGCAACGATAGGTTGAGCTCGGCCAAACTCTAAATATATTACACTCTAATGTCTTTTAAACCGAAACTATAAATTTCTTATCGCACATCGAAAATCAAGCTTGCCCCTACAAGTCAAAACCGAATGCGGCCGCCGGCAGTCTTGCTGTTGCAGTCGCAGTCGCAGTCTTGGACACGGGCACACACCCTAGTTGGCCATGCGGCGCACTCGTGCGTCATATTCAAATGTGGAGTTGATGTCGGGAGTCCGGCTAAGAGTCTGTAGATTACGTTCGCTAGATAATACAGCGCCACCGTTTCTTTGGCAGTGGCTAAGATAGTGACTATGGCATTCTTTCAAAGGCCGTTTCTATGGCTGCTCAGAGCCAACGCTAACGCTAACGGACTCAACCAGGAACCCGGGCCGGCACAGGCATGTGTGTGTGCTTATGCCATAAATGGATGCAAAGCATACGTAGCCTTAAAAAGTCAAATGTGTGGATAATAATTTTGATTTATTGCTAAGCAACCCGACTCTAGGTACAAGCTCGATGTTTAGTTACAATCTCAGCTAGATAACTCAATCGAGTGCTGTTGCTTTTCACGGGACCAACTCTGTTGGCTATTATCAGCCAAAGCTAGCCGAAAACCAAGCTCAAACCTATAGGGGCGTGTGCTGCGCAGGGGCGTGAACTAAACATGCTAATGAGCCAACATTCAGCAGACCAATGGCTGAGCAGCTTGACTAATATTAAAAGCAGCAACCAACAACAACAATATCACCGCATATCGATAGCAACAGTGCCCGCGTTAGCCAGAAATATGAGTTTTTGTTTATTGTTTTTTCTTTTGCATCTTTAGCCATGTTTCGTCTTGCATAATCTTTGCGGTTGCTTGAACGGACCGCAACTTTTCCCGCTCGGCGTGCACTTTAATTATGAAACTTGGAGCTCGTGCCAAATGAAAATCGATATGTTAATTTACATAAATCTTAAACAAATGTTAAGCATATAAAAGACCCAACGTCTTAGTTGTATTATGCATATTGTCTGGTCTTCAAAACAATGAATGAAATCTATATTTGCCTTCGAAAATCATATAGAGAGGTGAACAATAGGCAGAACGAGACAGGTTGTTCAGTCGATAATATAACAGTGCTATAAAATAAAAATTGATATACCCCAACAACGGTTGACTTGATAAATATAGTTATGCTTTCAAGAAAATGTTGAGAAATCAATAAGAAATGTATTCCTCTTAAGGACTCTTAATGTCAAGGATTATGCCGTCTTTTTACCTTCTCGAAAAGGCTTACGAAAAATTCACACCTTGCGTGAAGAGATTTTTAAATTGATTTTAAAGCCTATTAAGGAATTTTATTCATCTCACTGTTTCTGATTTTAGTTTTTTTTTTTTTTTTTTTTTTTTTTTTTTTTTTTTTTGGGAAACTGTTGACATGCGGCAAAAAGAAAGTCGCTCACAATACTTTCTACCACGGCTTTATCTCAGCTCAACTATCGCTGCAGGCAATTGCAGCGTCATTCATCTTGCAGTCGAGGCTATAAAGCAGATTAAGCTGTAAATAAAGCTGCTGCTCTGTCAATCTGTCAGGCAATGTCCTCGCCGTCGCTTCCATGCTCTTTTAATTGCCCACACCAAATCGGAGCTGACATTTATGCGCGCGCTCCATTTCGTAAATTTGTAAGGCTGCCAATTGAATTGGCTGCCAGGCTAATTGCCCAGAATGCGCGACGCTCTCTAACGGTGCTCTGTGGCAATGTTCAGATGGAGTGCACCATCTTCTCTGCTGCAATGCAAATTGAGCTGTTGCAGTTGCAGAGTTGTACGCACAATTAATGCTTGACAGCAGTTAGTCCGGGACAACACTCAAAGGCAATTAGGGTCGTGTCGGTCGCTGGTTCTAGCAAATCCATTGCGAAATGCTTAGCTCATATACCACTAAGTGTGTGTGTGTGTGCGTTTGCGCGACAAGTGTGCTTGTTGTTAGACAGGCAACAGGCATGCAAATTGTAATTTATGTGACAAATTTTTATGTACCATTCTCGGAAATTTATTGAGCGTTGGCAACGCACTAAGACGAACCTCAATGGGGCATGTGGTCAGCATAACAGGTGTTTTAAGCTTCTTGTTTTCATGGTATATCAAATGTTGAGCTAAGCTTCAGTGCGGCTCGCAGTCAAGCGGATCTTATATAACAACCAATAAGATAAGCTTAGTGCCCGGATTCATGTGTGCTATTTCATTCATTGATTTTTTTGATGTTTTATTTTTGTTTTTTTTGTTTAACTCATTCATTGAGTATTCCATGACGGAAGAAACGCACACACATCAAAGCGTTCGACTCTTTATAGATGTACGCATAGCATAGTCCAAGTCACATTCAAAAGCCATTTATCAAGCATGGGGCTTAAGCCCAATCATTCCAAAGGTCTTTGGTCTAACAATTTGTCAATGGTGCACTCAAGAGCGCGTACGCTTACTACGTATATAATTTCAGATAATTCAGCATCTGAGCCCATCCATTAATATAAGTCGAAGTCTGTGAGAGATGCGCATAGAAACTTGTTTTTGGCACAGCGGTGCACCGCATCATCAAAATAGAAATCAATAAAAAATTAAAACAAAAACAAAAAGAAGCAAAAAAAAAAAGTCAGCCACACGCATTAGACTAATTAAAATATACGAGTTTGTAGCGCGTTTAAATTTGATTTGCATTTAAAATCTATTCAAATTTTTGTATGCGGCTAACGGCTAAATGAAAGACACCCCCACGCAGGTCAACCAGTTTGGAGACCAGTCTCATCCATCATTTTGATAGTGTAAACCGTGGCCGGAATCCAATTCTGGCTTGTAGTTGCTTTGGCTCTAAGTAATGTGAAATATATTGGACTTGGCTAATATTAAATGCTTATTTTGAGCATAAAGATGGACTTACATATTATTGCTGTGTTCTCGCTGTTCCAGCTTAAGGTGCAGACTCTGACATATTGCTTAGGATTCTAACTGAAACAAAATACAGAAATAGAGCAAACATTTAGAAAAACAAGCAAACTGAACGTTAGCAAATAAAATAAATTAATAATTAAAAACATTAAGAGCAGCTAACCAAGGGGTAGAAAAAATACACAAAAGGTCAAAACACAAATAAAAAACCGGTTTCACAATTTGGCAAGCTTCAAAATGAAATCTTTCTTGACGTCATTATCGATGAATAAATATTTTAAGTAATAAAATTCAATTCATTTGACAGCACGCATTTCCTACCATTTTGAACTAAAATCCTACTCAGACCTGACTTAGTTTTTATTACAAATTGATATGAAAAATTAAAAACAAAGTAAAAAGGAAATAAAAGAAATTTGCTGCAGAATTGTTTTCGCCTTGCGCCATTGTAATTTATTGCATGTTTTGCTCATTAAATTGATTTTTCTTTTGATTTTGAGTGCGAGTGTCATTGCCGGGGACTGCAGAGCCGCAGAGTTGCAGAGAAACTGACAAACAAGGAACTCAGAAGCACGAATGTCTCTCAATGTTATTTTTTTTTGTTTTTGTTTTTGTTTTCGGCACGCTCGGGTTTCATAAAAAATGCCAATTAAGCGTGAATATAAGTGCCAGATAATTTTTCAGACAGCAGCCAATGTAACCCAAATTGCCAAAATACAAAAAAAAAAGCCCCCAAAAATAAGAGTTACAGCACAAGAGCAGACACAAACTGCAATACGAAGAGCTCTTGAAAAAAAGTAAAAACGAAAAAGCAACATTTTTGCGGGATATGCTCTTCTCAAGTGAGAGAAATTTTCATTTCTTGGCAATACATGTAACGCAATATTTGAAATAAATAAATACACAAATCTAAAAAGTGTTTAAAAATAAAAGAAAAAGAAATTAAGTGCAATGTATTTGAGATGGGTTCGAAGTTTTCCTATGTATTATTTGCTTATTAGTTTTATAAACACACAAATATTGTTAAACGGCCTTTCGGACCTCCCGGACACCCCGACATCACTTGAAGATCATGTGAAATGTTCAAAGCTGCCGTCATCTATTAATAAGCCTTTCTTATCATTCACCTGACTTAACGTACAGCGCATCAGGGCATTCGATATTCGTTTTAACTTCAGCGCCTGACACAATAAGGCAGCTTTAAAAAATATTTACAACACTCAAGTACAGTTCAAGTGCTGGGCCAAGTCAGCGATATGCCCGCCAATGTCCAAGTCCAACTTCATCTCGCAGGCTGTAAGGCAGGCAGGCCGTCAGGCATTCGGGCAGGCAAAAACGAGGGCCCCAAAAAACCACTATACATAAAGAAGAACGACACAGAGTGTTTCTTTTTTTTTTCTTTTTTGTTTTGAGCATTTTTCATTTAAAAGCGACAGCCAAACTGATGTCGATGTCCACTTCCATTGTCAGCCGAGTTGGAGTCATGGATGACCGAGATATGTGGTATGTGAATAGTTTTTGGTTCGGTTTTGTGTGTTTGGACCTTAATGCGGGATTCGTCTCAATTTCAGTTTCAATTTCAATGTGCGCGGTGCACTTTGACGAGCCAAGTTAATAAGGCAATAAAAACAAAGACAATGTCGAAAAAAATGTGCCGCAGTTAGTCCAAAGCGAATCTCAAAACAATGACAATCATAATATACTTAGTATATTTAAATGTTGAAATGTCAACAGGTCGCAAGCATCTTTTGGTTTTGGGAGCTGCGCAAAGCGGTTGCCTTTGCCTGGCGATGCGGCTTTGATTTTGATAAATGTTTAATTAATTTTGTGCCTCGGTCAAACATTAAACTTGGCCATTTTCGGACTTAATGAACAAAAATTAACAACACACTGAGAAACCAACGGCTATGGCAGCTACGCGGAAGATCTTCAAAGTGAGTTTTTTCGAATTTTTGTTTTTTAGTTTCTCGTCGTTTACATTATGCTGGCTTGTGCGGTTTAATATTATGAATGAATGTTTACATATGTGAAAAATGTTGTAATTAGTTTTTTCTTTTCTCCTCTGCTAGGTAATTCTGCTTCGGCGCCCTCAGAGTGATTTTCAACAACGGGGGCTTTGAAACAACTGCAAATTACAAGTTATTATTAATGTTAACAAGCGAAATCTCTGTGTACTTATGTGAAAACAAGGGGTCTTCATGATTTATCTATATACATATATACATATGTATACAGACACACAAAACATATACATATGTTGCACATTAATGCCTGTTCTTGATTTATGTGTGCATGGGTCTTTTGTGCACAGCGCCAGCAAGCGGGTCAGCTGTCCCCTGGGTCAGGTATTGACGACCACGGGTGACTTAACGCGCACATAAACCAATCTTCTAGCTTCAGTAGCTGCCAACAGTACATAGAATTCAAATCAAAATGTTCCACAGTAATTATGCAAAGATTTTCAAAAACCCCCATTGCACAAGGCCAGACACGGCTTAGGCTTCGGGTTGTCTTCGGTAATGGCTTTAGTTTAGGCCCATCCAAATACACTACCAAGCAACCGCAACCACAACAACAATGACACGAACTCGTAAAATATGCAAAATGTGTGCCAGGCTGCGCAGCCAGCAGTCCGCTAACGACTTGTGTCAATAAAAATCAAGCAAAGCACTGCAATGCATTGCTTTCATGGATGTACTCGTAAGTATGTACATATTCTTCAGTCTAGAGCTGCCCCCGTTGCACTTGTTCTATTCATCGCTCTAGCTGCTGCTCATATCGTTGTTGCTGTTGCAGGTTGTTTTTGCTGTTGTTGTTGGTGTTGATGTTGCTGCACCTGGCAGGAAAATCGAAGAATGTCTAGACAGCAGACAGCCAAAGTCACTTCACATTGCACATTGCTTCCTGACTGGCTCTAACGGACGAACGGTGAATGTGGATGTTAAGCCTTGCCGGATTTAAAAAAGTACGAGGTGAAGCCTACAAACAGGCTGGCCTATAAAGGTGCTTTAACAGCTGGCTCAGAAGAGCTGCCAAATGTAAGATTAGTTCATAAAACGCAGATCTTCAATTTATAATATATCATTTAACTTCTTAAAATCCAAGCTGATTTCCCCCCACATCGAATAACAAAAGACTTAGGCAACGAACTTGACGGTAAAATCTCTCAATGCTAATTAAGAGGCACATCATCTAAAAGCTACAAAAAATATATTGTATGCTTGATAGCGCCACATAAATGGCGACATTGTTTGATATTTATCATACCGCAGCTAAAACATCTAAGCTATCAGTAGCAGCAACGGGAGCAACATGGTAGCGCAAAAGAAAAGGTGATGTAGTCCATCAACGAGTATGTGGCTTGGAGTAAATAAATAAATAAAACAATGAAAATCAAACAGGCGAAGCAGCTGTGCCAAAGGTTCTCAGACTGGCAAGAGCAAGAGCAACAAATAATTTATGACACATGACGCTTTAGAGTACAAGCAGAAACAACACCAACAGCTACTCTACCACCACCACCGCAGCCACCAACAACAACAAGAGCAACATGGTCGCCGTCGTCGCCGACTGAAGTGTAACTTCCCACTGACCCAATTTACAAGCACTTAATGCCAAAAAGGAGAAGTTGTAGAAGAAATAAAAAATGACGAAAGCTGGTAATGCATATCAAATAAAATAGTAGCAACAACAGCGACAAGAGCAACACCAACAACAGCAATGGAGCAGCAACGATGCGTGCCAACAAGACGACAAAAATTATGACCAAAATAGACAAATAAAAAACAAAAAAACAAAAAAAAAAAAGAAAAAATTTAAATTAAAAGCCAAAAAACTCCCACACATAAAAGTCGAGAAAGAAACTTGAAAAAAGGTCTGTCAAAATTAAATCATTTCGGTGGCACACAACATTAACCGATGGTTAAAAGTTGATAATGATGATGCTTGGATAACGCTCGTTATTATTTTGCTTGGATCTTGCTGTTGTTGTTGCTATTGTTACTATGGTGTAGTTGTTGTTGCTGTTGCTGCCCAGTGCGTTGGTGGCTGGCACTGGCAGCGTAACAAATGCTGTTTTGACTAAGTGTTTGACATGAGGAGCGTGGAAAAAAGACAGCAGACACACACAGGTCACAAATGCTGACACACACATGTTTATATACATATGCACACGTACGATATAAACATGCGAAAGTGAGAAAAACTTAGTGCAAATTGTAGTGCGTGTATTGTATATAAATTTCTTTTGCTATTGTTGCTGCTTCTACTGATAAACTAAACATTCAGGCGACCGTCGGACCCACCGACGGTCCGACCGAACGACCAAGCAACATTTTGAGTCCATTCCACTTGACGACCGCGCTTCCGGTTTCATTTGAGTGAAATTTTGCGCCTGCGGCAAATTTATGTGAGAAAACAACAACATACCAACACTGATACTAAGAGCGGCAAAATTGTTCATAGAAAATTACGAACGAAACCGAACAAACATAGAAATTTGCATATGCCGCCTTTGGCGGTTTAGCACGTATTAATTGTTGCTGAACAGAAAAGCACGGGGCAGCCGTCAGATATTAATTATTAATATTATATATGATAAAAATCCATTAAAGCCAGATTAATCAGGTTGATTTCATAAACCTTAACGCATACAGCAAGTTAACTGCTTTCAAATCAATTTTTAGGGTATTCGGTATTTGTTTTAAATTGAGAATTTTCCAATTTCGTTTGATAAATGTTTGTATTAGCTGCTTATTGTCAAAAAAAAAGGAAAATTGCCAATTACTGACGTATAATAAATATGAAATATATATTATAATATATATAATACTTTAAAGTTGGTAAATGAATTCGAAAATATAATATTTTACAATTTTTGAAAATTGCACCTTAAATTATATTTGTAATGTATTTCACTTGAATAATTCTTTGTAGCTTTCTAAATTCGTATTATTTTATATTATAACGGCAAGTGGCATTTGCACGTTATTGCATTATTGTTAAGATTTTATTAGTTGATTTTCTGAAAAGCCAATTAGCTTTTTAGGTCGTATTTATGTTCAGTTACAGTTATATGATTAGCATTTATTAGAATATAATTTAAAAGAAATATTCAATGTTCAATTTTTTCCGAAATAACTTTAAAACTACTGATTGTAATCGATATCATGAAGAAAATAATGATTTGCTATTCAAAGTTCCTGAATTCGGAATTTAAATATGCATTGCTTTGTAGACTATTATTTGAGTGCATAAAATTTTAAATATATGAAGT